GAGTCAGAAAGAGAAATGACAATAAAAAGAAAATGCACAAAAATCAGTTGTTTTTAAAAGTTTGAAATCTGGAGCTGGGTGTATGCCTTTAATCCCAGCACTTTGGAGGCAGAAGCCCGCAGATTTCTGTGAGTTCGAGGCCACCTAATCTACAAAGAGAGTTCCAGGACAGCCAGGTCTACACAGAGAAACCCTGTCTTGAGCTACCACCACCACCAACACACACACACACACACACACACAAAAGTGTGCTCTTGAAAATATATAAAAATAAGTGCCATACGCATTCTGCCGCTCTACTGTGGGTGCCTGGGCGCCGTGGCACACTGCTTGGAAGGCAGAAGGAACTCTGAAATGGGAGTCCACAGCCCATGTCTTCATTCACCAGACCAGAGGGGAAACACCTGGAGTCTAGTACGAGTGCTGTGGTTCCCCCGTCTAATCTCTGGGTAACAGAGCACCTCTGGTGTGCTGCTGAGAGTCAGGAACCAGAGTCCATCGGGTTATCCATCACCAAGCGAGGAGGGGAGACAGAGCCTGGGACAAGCAGAACCCACTCTGACTGGGAGGGAGGGCTGAGAGTACAGAAGGGGCTGGAGGGAAGAAAGCCTTCCTCAGGAGTCTTAGGTGCTGCTCTTTAGTCAAAGGACTTCCAGAGAGATCCATTAAGGGGGCAGTTCTCTGAGACAGTCCTACTTGTTCATACTGATTTATTTGATGGTGAATGTAAGTGCATACACTTTATTCGGGGTGAACCGGGAATTAAATGCCTTTTGTGGGAAGGAATACCCAGTAAGAGAAGCTCTTGGATGAAGGCTCAGAGCTATCCCAGTCCTCAGTGGGGTGTTACTTGTTCCAAAGCAGGCACACAGACAGGTAGGGAGCCGCTCCATTCCTACAGGTCTCCAATCTCTGAGATTCCTGGGTCTGAGCTCACTCAACCTTTCCAGTTCTCATGTCTGTCTGGTAACATGGTTCCATGTGCCCTATTTGTTAGGGCAGTGTGTACAGGATTGATTTGAGATATATAAAGAATCTGTACAAGTTAATAGGATGAAAGCTCTGATGAAATGTGGGTCGGGATCAGAACAGATAATTCAGAGGAAGGCAGTCAGATGGTCAACACACACTAAGCATTCACAGTCATTAGTCAGGATAACGAAAGCCTCAAGCCCCAAAAAGCATCCCCTGGAAATGGACGAAACTAAAACATTGACAATATTGACCCTGGCTAAGGACACAGATCAATTAGGAACATTCAAGACACTATCCTGGAGCATTAAATGGTACAATCACTTTGAAAAAAAAAAAGCACAAAAGTTGTTTTTTTCATAAAACCAAGCATGATCCACCATACCTCCTACTATTTGTCAAAAAGAACACAATTAACAGAAGCTGCACAAAACTGTCCATAACTGTTCATCTTAAACATCCCAAGTTAGAAACAGCCCGACCTTCATCAGACGGATGACTGAATGGTGGTATTTATGTAGACTATGAATCGACTAAAATGGAATGAACTTCAGATAAACACAGGATACAGACATCTAAAAATATGTTAGGTTTCTAAGAAATCTACGTGAACAAGATTTCTTTTATACTATGTCCATTGGGGGAGGGAATTAACTAGATACTAATTCCCTGGGGTTCTTGTAATATTTATGCTCTGGTTATGAGTTCATAGCCATTGGCGCTTGTTTACACTCAATTTCCAGGGTGAGGGATATGGCTTGAGGGGTAGGTATAGTGTTTGCAGTGAGAACCCACATTCAGATCCCCAGCACCCATGTAAAGAGCTGCAATACAAGTACAGCGATCACAGGAGCAGCCCCAGGGCTTGCTGGTTAATGTAGTCAGACTGGTGAGCTCCAGGCTAACTGAGAGACCTCATCTCAAAAGGGGGACTAAGGAAGGGGGACAGCTCAGAGGGTAAAGGCACTTACTGCCAAATGAACCCAAGTTCCCTCCTGGTCACCCACATGGTGGGGAAGAATAGACTCCTGGAAGCTGTCCTCTAACCTCCATACACAGGCTATGGCACACCCGTGCCCACACATGCACACACTGAATAAAATGAAGTTTAAATTAACAAGTTATAAAGCGATCGAGGAAGACGCTCGACAGCACACAGACACAGAGAGAAATCCCGAGGTGCATGGGCGCTTATAAACTTTATTTCATGTAACTTCTGTGTTAAAAATGGACAGTAAGAATTAAGTTGTGTTAGCTAAGCAGTCACAGCACACCGTAAACAAGGATGGGAAGGCCTTGAGTTCCAGACAGCCTGCACTACATTGAAAGTTCCAGGGCAGCCTGGACTAGTAAATAGTTTTTTTAAAAAGTATCAACTATTTTAAATGACACAGTAGACTCATACTTACTAACAAAAATTAATTTGTTTCAAAAACAAAAACCTTGAGTAAATCAAGTTAATGAAGAAACAGTCCGATGCTTGCTGTGCTCTAAACAACGTCATCTTCACACTCTGACTCTTACTCTCTAGGTCCTGCTTAATCAACACCCATTATCTTGAGCCCCACAGGAACACCTTTCTTTGCGGTCCCTACTACTAGAATATAAACTCCATAGCAACAGGCATTTTTCTTGTGCTCTGTATTTTCAGAATCTAGGAGTCTTGAACTAAATTGGCGAGTAATATTTGCTGAATAAGCAAATGAACATGGCCATATGTGACATACCTGGGCAAACACTATACAGGGCTTTGTGTAGGGGGAAGAAGAGCATTTTTATTTATTTTTTTATTGAAAATAAAAGTTTTCATACAGTAAATTCTGATCAGTTTCCCCTCCCAGATTCTCCCTACATCCCCTCTTCCAACTCATCTTCTCTCTTTAGAACACAAGCAAGAAAAAGACACACAGGAAGGGAAAAACCACACACAAACCATAAAATGCAAGCAAAAGGACCAGTAAGAACCACACAAGGCAATATGAGAGTAAAACAAAAAGAAAAAAAAGAAAAAGAAAGAAAGAAAAAGAAAAACAATAAAATCTCCCAAAATACCACAAGGTCATTTTGTATTGGCCATCTACTCTGGGAATGGGGCCTGACCCTAAGTGTGGTTTGCATATCAAGTGAGACTGTAGTGGGTTGGTCTGATATTCTTGTATTCAAATGCTAAATTCTGTACTCCAAGATCTGGTTGCTCCAAGATGAGCAGATCCTCGTGTATACCAGCTTTTGATTATAAACCTTGCCCCCCCCAAGTTATCCATGATTGGTTAATAAAAATACCAACAGCCTATAGTTGGGCAAAAGAGAGGTAGGTGGGGGGTCAGTTCGTAGGCTTGGGGTCTGAGGCAGGGACTGCAAGGAGAGACAGGAAGAGGGAGGAGAGGAAGAAGTCACAAAAGGGTAAGTAGATATTGAATGCATGGCCATGAGGACCAGCTTGTTGGAATAGGAGTGGCCCAGGCAGGACATGTCAAGTCACCACTGGGAAGTAGACAAAATAGCACAGAGGGCTGATACGTGCCCAGCTCTAGTGCTTTAAGACATATTATAAAGGTTTTGTGTCTTAATTTGGGAACTAAATGATCTAAGGTGGGGTAGAAACCCCTAATTAATATTTACCACAACATGAGATTCCATTGGCAAAACTGATTTTTCCTTTTGTAACTGATTGTCAATTGGCAATAGCTGGTTAAGGATAGAGCCTCGTGTCTCCTTCCCCTCAGTACCGGACTCCATGTGGCTTAGACCTATGCAGGCTGGCCCTGTGCACGCTGCCACAGTCTCTGAATTCACATGTGTCTGTCAGGTTATGTCAGGAAGACACTGTTTTCCTGTCACCCATCCCCTCTGGCTCTTAAAATCTTTCTACCTCCTCTTCCAAAACATCTTAAACACATGATTCAGTTTCCAGCATTCCTCTCAATTGCAATCAACTTGTGACTTGAAGTAGATATTTTCCCTTAAGTGCACTTTAATTAAAACATGGTTTGCTGAAAGAAACAGACACAAGCTATACCCATAGTAAAGTGTGCACCCTTCACTCCTCTGATTGCCTCTCAGTCTGTGCCCACTGGAAAGGCCACTGGTCAGAGTTCCCACTAAAATCCACCTAATACACACCTGGTCTCTCTCTCCCTCAAGTGAAACTGTCAGAAAGGAAGAATGAAAAATCTGGTGACCCAGGTTGAAAGCATTTAAGCACGTTCTGCTGCTGCAGGCCACCAGGGGGCCATGCTCTGGCAGCTTTCCTAGCTCCCCTAGGTGAGACCAGCCATGTGAAGCTGGCGGATGGAGCACATCCAGGCTTCCTGGTAGGTAAGGGATCAGGAGCTGATCTCTGAGAGTCCACTTCCTAAGCAGATTCAGGGTAGGAGGTCTCAAGCCTAATCCATTCTCCAGTGCAATGTCCCCTTCAGACTGTGTTCCACAAGTGTCAAAACAACACAGGACTCTGAACTTCTTCCTCAAAACAATACAAAAGAAAGAAGAAAAAAAAAAAACCTCTTTGAATACTAAAGTACTTATTTTAATGAATTTGTTTTTAACACAAATGAAAAAACAAGATTCTTACCATTTTAACTACAGTTAAAACTTCAGAACTAACCAATAACATTAATTTTGCAAAGTTTTAAACTACAGATCATCAAATATATAATAGAGAATGCAATTTAGTGCTTTTTGTCACAATATCAAAAATAAGCATTTTCTCAAGGTTATCAAAAGTACCCCACTCAAAATATTTTTCTTAATCAAGTAAAAGTATGTGCTATTGTGCATGTTTGTTAAAAACTAAAAAAGAAAAATGTTAGTGCTATTACACAGAAAAAAAAAACCTGTCTTGAAAACAAAACAAAAAAAAAGAAAAAAAAAGAAAAACTTTACATATTGAATATTATTTTAAGTGCTTCTTAACCAACCAAAAATGCCTAACACAGATGGCAGGCTCACACTCTTGGTATGAAAGTCACACCAAAGAATTTTAATGTTATAACATGACTTTTATGCACCAAATAAAGCAAATAAAATTAGTTATGTTTGCTTGTTTGCTTTTATTTTGTCAATGAAATGGCAGATTTAATATTGTATTACTTCATTCAAGTAGTCTACCACGTGAGGTTAGGTTTTGTGGTTCACATCAGATGTGGGAAGACAGTCCTCATGAGAGCTGAGCATTTTCACAGGAAAACACTTTCATTTCAGATAAAACTAGAAATATACACACATGTCTATTAAGCAGAGATACCCAAATGTGAACTCACAAGAGACAGTCAAATAAACTCATGAAGCAATGATCACCGGAAAAGAGATACAGGACACATTTTTAGTCATGACGGTACTTTTTGTTGAGTCACAGACATGCTACCAGCCTATTCAGACCAACTGAGTCAGGAGCAACATAGGACATGTGAAGGATCTCTCCAGCTGTTGAAATGGGGTAAGGACAGAGAGAAAACAACCCAGGTTCCAAACACAGGATTATTAACAATCAAAACTGCACCCCTAGTCTGCCATGGTGGCCCGTGCCCATGATCCCAGCACTTGGGAAGCTGAGGTAGGAGAAGGTCTGCGGCCAGCCTGGACTACAGAGTGAGACCGCTGTTGCAAAAAGAAAAAGATATACACAAATTGTTACCCTGCTTTTCTAAGGAAAAAGTAGTTTTTAAAACAAACACATGAAACAAAGTTCAAACTGAGACTCATATTAATATTGTGGCCTCAATGAAAAATGATACTTGAAACTAAAATAAATTAAATTTCAGGTATTTTTAATGTGTGCAGGATATATAAAATAAATGTATACACCAAATATACACTATCAATTTATTTTAGATTAGAAAGTATTTAGGAAAAGTTTTCTGTGTTCAAAATTAAATAGGAATTGTCTTTTATATACAGGAATTAGGCTGGAAATATGAAGTAAAAGTTTAATTCTGCAGAATTAAAACACAATTATAGTCATTCAAAAAGTAAAAAAAAAATACTGAATTTTTTGTGTTAAATTCTTAGAATTTTGCAGTAACAAGTGAACTTTTTCTAACATTTAAAAAATTATTCTTTTATCAATATAAAACTATTCAAATAATTATGAGAATCTCTTACACCAGAAAAATAAATTCACATGATACACTCGTGACCCCAAGAGTTACAATCAGCAGAGCGAGCGATGTCCCTGAAACAAAGCACTTCCTCCTTTTGTCTCCTCCATCCCTACAGATACCCCTTATTTCACGTCATTCACACAGGACTACACCACACTCTGAGAGATCAGTAACTCTTTCTTTTTGCCTCCAAAGCTCAGGGACAATCCTCAGTCTTCTTTCTTGGTGTGTCTCTTAGCACCACCTGGAGGCTCTGTGGCCCGCTTGGTTGCTGTTGAGGCAGAACCATTGGAAGACGGTTTGACTTCAGCTTTCTTCTCACTCAATGAAAACTGTGGCTGCTGCCGGCCAAACAGCATCCTAGTCAGGGTGTCCTCAAAGGGAGTGAGAGTCACGGCAGTGTCCTTTGTCATCATCATGGTTACCTAGGGAAAGAAATTAACTTTAAACTTCAGTACAAATATCTTCTGTTTCTTAAAACTGAGATGAGAGAGAAAAATAAATAATGGGCAAAGCTGATTCAAATCTATTTTTTATTTAATCTGTAGGAGAAAAAAATAAGCTAAATTCTGGGAAAAATCTCAAATCGCTATGAATTTAAAGATTATTCATTAAAAATGTACCTGGTACTGGTACAACAAATGAAGTACAACAATTACTACCAAAAAGAAAAAAACAAGAGAGAGAGAGAAATAGATAGATAGATAAGTCAAAGGAAATGAGGTATAATCTTATCTACCGTCTACACCAGCAGCCAATACAGCTATCATTACTATACGTCTGACATGGGTCAGAATTGTAAATACTTTCTACTCCTCTCTATTTTCAACTTAATGCAACTGTTGCTGTTGCCTTCATCACAGAGAGGAACAGTCACAGGCTTATCTGTGCAGCGTCTGACCTTCCTCCCAGCTACTCTCTGGCTTCCAGGACACTGACTGCCTATCCTCTCCAACCATAAACATCTCCTGATGGCAACGGAAGAACCACAGAGGAGCTTCAGGAAACCCTGACACACAGAACAAACTCCCCCAGAACCATCTTCTTACATTCAACAATAAAAAAACACAAGTGTTCTTGGTACTAGCTTCACCTGAAAGACTCTATCAAAAGAAAAGGCTTACACAGGATTTGTAATGTGGGCTGGTCGACACCAGGAACTGTCTTACCTTTATGGTCACGAGGAAGATGGTGTAAAGGAACATGAGATCATGCTTTGATATTGCCAGATGCCTGGTGTGCTGGAAAGTGAACATAATGGCCCCCAGCAGGGTTACCTTGCAAGGGCTGAAAGGAAATAACATTTTAAGTCAGTGACAAGCAAAACAAGCGCTCTGTCTACAATTTTCTCAGAGTGCTCTGTAAACATCAACTTAATGGACCTTAACAGATATTAACACAAAATGAGCTATGTGAATGTATTTTTAAAGTTTCAGAAATACTGAGTTATTTAAACTTAAAAAATATTTTCTCATAGCATAAAATACTAGAGATTTTTATAAACTTTGTATGTGCACGTGCGTGCACACGCACACACACACACACACACACACACACACTTGCAGAGGCATTGGATCAGAGTTTCAGGCAGTTGTGAGCTGCCTGAGTCAGATGCTGGGAGCCAAACTCAGCTCCTCTGGAAGAGCACTTTGCTGGCTGTCTTACGTCAGCTTCACAAAGCCAGACTTATCTGGAAAGAGGGAACCTCAATTGAGAAAATGCCTCCAAAAGACCCAGCTGGAGGCCATTAGTTAGTGGTCAATGGAGAAGGGCCCAGCCCATTGTGGGTGGTGCCATCCTGAGGCTGGTGGCCCTGAGCTCCATAAGGAAGCAAGTACAGCAAGCCAGTAAGCAGCACTTCTCCATGGCCTCTGCATCAGTTGCCACCTCCACATTCCTGCCCCGTTTGAGTTCCTGTCCTGACTTCATTTGATGAAGACCAATGGAGAGATATAAGCCAAATAAACCCTTTCCTCCCAAGTTTCTTTGGTCATGGTGTTTCCTCACAGCAACAGAACCCCTGACTAAGACAAGCACCAAGTTCTCTTGACCACGAGATAAACCCTCAGGCACAAAACTTCTTAGAGTGTCCATTATGCTTCCATAGTACAGCACTGCAGAAACATTTCTCCATCTAACGCTGTTTTAAAGGACTTGAAAAACCTTCCATGATGAACAAGGCCCCAAGACAGATGAGAGAAATGGGAACGT